AACAAGACATACAGCTGATTTCTCAACAAAAACAACGGAAGCCAGAAGCCAAAGAAATGACATGTCAGAGCACCTACAACTGTACACCCAGTGACAATATCCTTTAAAGTGAGGGCAAAATAATGACATCTTGACAAGAAACACAAATGGGGCCCCCGAATGGCCTTCTCTCCATCTCTAAGCAGCAGCACTGCCCACACAGACGCACAGCCAGAAACCTAGACACTGATTCCCACAGTTCCTTCACCTCCAACCTCCAAGCTGTCGCGTCCATTTGATTCTCCAAAAATACATCTCGTGGCTCGTAAAGCGATGCAAATTAAAACAGCACATCGCTCTCACGCGCAGGCAAGCGCCAAGAGCCGATTAGCATGCTGAGGGCTCCCGGGGAGGAAGCAATCTGTCCGTATCTAGGGAAACCGAGAGCAAACCTGGAACCCGCAACCGCGATGCTAGAGACACGCTGGAGGCGAACTTTCCCGCTTTCGCGCCTCCGCAAAAGGAAGCGAGGCTGAGGGCCCACCTTACTGTTTGTAACAACAGCGCGTGATCAACACTAAAGTCCAACCCAGGGCGAGGTCAACAGAACCTTACAGTCGTTGAAAGAAGAAACAGGGGCTACCGCTCTCAGCTGAACCCCAGCCCCTTCCTCACTGGTGTCCCTGGTCCTCTCATCCCTCCTCCAACCCACTGTCCGCTCCGTAGCCAGGAATGCTCTTCTTAGAGGCTTTGTGCACGCGGGCTACGAATACGGCCCCTGAAGCCCAAATGCCTGGGTTTGAATCGCAGCTCCACCCCCTGCTGGCTGGGAAAGTTGAAGCAAGTCACTCAGCTTGCTCCACTCTTTTCTGTAAATATTAAGAACCTAAGAGGGTTGCTTTGAAGAGTGAGCAGGTTAACTCCATAAAGCACACAGGGCAGAACCCAGCACAGAGCAGGATGTAAGCATTAGCTACGGTCACTGAAAGGTAATCAATGTCATTCTCCCTCGGAAGACCCTTCCCTTCTCACTGAAGCCACCTGAGGTGGCCCCGGGCCTGTCCCCCTCCCTGCTTCATTCCCTGCTCAGGCCACACAAAGCTTCAAGCCTCTGGGCACACTCAGCTCCCTCCAGCCCAGTGCCTGCCCTCGCCCGGTCACTATACCCTTCAGGTTGCATCTGAGAGGCTTCCCCCACCAGGCCTTCCCTGGCCACCTGGCTGTGCCCACACTTCTCCTGCCCCCCATGCCCACCCACCCTCACTCTCCCCTCAGCCCCTCACAGATTCCCTTCAACACACTCTGCATAATTTGCATCAGCTTTACATATCCCTTTCTGTCCGTCTCCCATCTAAACAGAAGCTCCATGCACACGGGCAATTCACCTGCCGTGTTCACAATGCTCCCTCCAGCCGAGCACAGGACCGGCATGGGTGGGGTGCTGTCATACTCGCTGAGTAAGTAAACACTCCAGGAAAGAACGCTCTCAGCGCTCTCACAGCGCCTGCCATGTCACTGCGAACGCTCGAAGGAATGATGGTTATTCATGTCCCGTGCACAGTCTGGAAACACAAGCCCGGTCGTTATCACTGTCTACATGTTAAAGGGTGTTTTCTTACCAGTTACTGCTGCTCCGTGAAACGGTTTGTCCACTTGGGGAAAAGTAAAGGCAGACTTCAACTTCTTTCTATTTCAAAAAAATTTAAAGCACAGAGCGAGAAGTTTCCTCTGCACCCACACTCCCACCTGCCCAGTTCTCATCACCCTCCCCAGCAAGTAACCCTGTTATTAGTTCCTTGTATAGCCTTCCCGAGAATTTGCATGCACTTCCCCTCTCTCCTCTCTCTCTCTCTTTCACACACACACACACACACACACACACACACACGGAAATGGTAGCACACACTGGACATTTTCCCACACTTGGCTTCTGTAACTCTTTCTAATGAATCCATACGGAGCCTCTGGCTCCTTTCCACAAGCTCCCCACTTCGCTCCCCACCTGTGCACAGGAAGGGTTATCCGGCCAGTGTCCTGAGGGGCCCTCCAGTCACTTCCCACCGTTTACCTTCACCAAAAGGCAGGGAATCAATCATCTCGTACCTGTGGTATCTCACACACGTACACATATACCCGCAGGTTAAATTCCTAGACCTGGCTTGGCTGGGTCAAAGGATTTATACGTCTGCCACTTTAAAAGGTGCTGTCCGATGCCCCTTTATTGATGGGATTCACCCACAGAAACACAATTCCTCTGAGCAGCTGAAATAAGGGAATGTCATACAAGGAATTGGTTGCGCGCATGACGGAGAAGCTGGGAAGTGAGACTGGAAATGGTAAGGAATGCACACATGAGCAAGAGCTGGACGCCCTGACCACCGCTAAGTTGGAGGGTCAGAGGGAGGAGGTATTTTCAAAGCTCAGGGCCTCGGTCAACTGGCCGCAGGAGCTGGAGCCAAAGGAGACCGAGCAAAGGAGAGGCACTGAGGCAGAACCGAGGCAAGAGAACCTGGGTTCTCCCTCCTCCTGCCAACCTCCCACCGGAGGCCCCACGGGCCAAGCCCACCCCAAGCCAGCGGGCCCATGGGTTTGGGAAACGCTGCCTGCGGGGCCACCTCCCCAGGGGGAGGCAGGCCGTGGATCAGAGCCAACAGGACCGGGCTGGCGCTGCCTCCTTAAGAGCCGGAACTAATTTACACTCCCGTGGCCAACAGATGCTTTCAGACATGGGGGTTGTCGCTTGCCTGACAGGTGAAACCCGGACCCCCACCCTGTGGTCATGTATTTTATTGAGTGAGACTGAGCATCTTTTCACGGGAGACACAGACTTAATCCTCATCTACACA